ATTGCACATAGCTATAAACTAAAGAGCTTCTCCTTGTATCTTCTATCAAGCAAACCACAGATGGAACCACAATAAACTGCCTATTTTCTGGTTTAATGAACAGTTCGTTTCAGACAATTCAGTGACTAAGAAATATTAGCAATGCAAAATTGATAGAAGCAGCATGCCTAATTTGTAAGGTTATCCAACTAGTTAGAGATAGTGAGTCAGTAGATGGATTCCTTAACCACCAGGAAGAGGCTCAGGCTCCGTTATTATAACTTGTTCGACAGTCATGTTTAAATTGAAAGCAATAGTTAAAATGCTAAAACTACATTTGTATATGAAACATGGGGAAGATGAATGCACTTAAAATCAAACATAGGACAGAGTGGAATTTGTATGTGCAACAGTAAAGACGTAATGCAAATGCTATTATCCACATAACCACATGTATGCAAAGCTGAAGAGCAAACATACCGCTTTGCAGTCATAATCAAATTAGCGATGCCTTGGCCTACAATACCACATACAAATCCAACTGTACCATACAAAACTCCCTGCATCAAATCCAGAAACATATAAGGAGATTGTTATCTTACAATAAAGTATGCAAAGCAACCATTAACACTAAAACCACAGTTGAGAAAGATTCAAATACTGTGCTGATCAGGGAATCTTCAAGAATCATTTGGATGACATTAATAAATTACCTTGTAAAAGTACGTTCCGATCCTTTGTTGAACAGAAAATTTACATCCTGGCCTTTCAGCTTCGAAGACACTAAAAGCATAATATAAGATAAGAGAGTTTCTAAGTCAAATCGAGTTGCATCCAAAATAATTAAATGGAAAATGCCCGTAGCGCTACTAGGGCCATATCACATTACACCTATTGATAACTTGTTTACATGAGCCAAACAAGACAATTCATGTTTTTGTGCCTTAGGTTAACTTCATGTTAATGCTCAAGAGCTACACAGGCACCATTGCAAATTCAAGGTCAAAAGTCAACTTCATCTCACTCAACTAAGCAATATAATAAGTGATGACAAATTGAATTGGGAAATTTTCTCCTTGCTTATTTTTCCTTAGAGAATTAGTTATTTTTGAATCAAAAGCTTCAAGCTTCAGAGCTATAATATTATAACAATATGCACCCTCGTCTACATCAGGAAGTAAGAATCATAGTCCGAATTCAAGAGCAACTGCACCAAGAAGTATTTCATTTTAATCACCATGCCATGAATGTGAATTCAGTAAAAATAAACCCTACTCAAACCCTGCAAGGTGATTAAAACAAATTTTCATTGCAGATTTTTGGTAACAGAAGTTTCTGACAATGTACAGTTACAGAAAGAAGCCCCATGCTCTTGTGTGTGTGTGTGTGGGCTTTTTTGCGTTGTTTTTTTTTTTTTTTTTTTGCTTTGTTAGATAGGGGTGGAAATGAATTGGATACAGCTCGGATATGATACTTCTAATATCCATTTAGTAATCATGGATATGAATACAAATATATCTTGGTAAGGAAAACTCGTATCCATATTCGCTAAAGTTGGATACAGACATGGATATACAGGCAGATGTACATAAGGATACAAAACAGATATAAAACAACCATATAAGATTGAAAACAAATATAATTGATATGAGGGTTCATAAACATGTTCGCGAGATCTGAAAAGCTGAGATTAGATCTCTTGATCATTAAAATTAACTTCAAATAAATTAATCTAAGGATTGAAAAATTGCAACTGCATGATCAACATATATTCGGATATTTCAGATATGGAATGATATTTCACTACATATCTGTAACTATAGTCACTTCCTATCAGATATAGATATTTAGTAACATATCTGCATCTTAACGGATATGGATATATACAAGGATATGGATATTCCTTTGTACCCCTACTGGCAGATCTCAGTTAAAGGCCCATGCATCATGTATGTTCATCAAAGCAAGATCTGAATAGTCTTCAAGAATTAAAAAATTGAGTTATTTCTCTCTCTACAAATAATGCATTGTTAGCAAAAAACAATGACAAGGGAAATATTCCATCTAGCCAATATGATCATACATTAGGTGATTGACGCATTCTCCTACTTTATCCTGAGCGAACTACATAAAGAAGCTACAGGCCATCAATAGATGTTAAGAAATAATACGCATGTTGCAACAATCAAAAAAAGGATAGTCCATCACAAAACCAAAGGATAAAAGGGTTTTGTTAGTTTGATTGTGCAAGCTAAACCAGAAAAATGAGAATTGATTTCTTTTGTATATTTAAGAAAGATACCTGCTAGGAAGAGAATTACAAGCTCGCGCCATGGAAGCAAAGAAACCTGACTTCACAGAAGGCTTTCCTATACGTGCATAAGGTGCCAACATACCAACCAAGGCAATGTCCACAACAATTCCCACCAAAAGATCAGCTGCATACAGCTCAAACTCTGCCCAGAAATCCTTCCCCCTCTTTTGGACCTCAGCAAATGTTGCACAGCAAGAGTCTATAACTATCTGCATATGTTTTCAAAAAAGAACATCTTTCATTAAAAGAAAAAAAACACTAAAAAACTTTCTTCCAGTTTTAACAACACAATACTTGATTCAGCATTTTAAAGAAAAATACTCCTTAATTCCAAGAGATTGAAAAGTTCATAAATCCTAATGCAAATGCTTATGACTATTACCAAATTTGAAAATCCAATCTTTTATATTGGGACAAAATATTTGTAGCTGGCAAATGAAAAGCATCATATCTTTAAAGTCTATTACTACACTATATTACCCAAAACAATTCATTCTTTTTAAATTCATAAAAGAAAGGAACAAAAAAAAGTCTGATCCTACATTTCCCTGGAAAATAATTAGGTAAATGCATTAAAAAAGGCTGGCCCAATGCACGAGGATCCCACCATTAAATAAATGGGTTGATAATTAAAAAAGAAAATGATTGGTAATGAATATTATTTCAGCCTTTGGCTGTATTTGTGCCGTAGAATTAAATTTGATTTCCTATTATAAATTTCTTCCTTCTCCCAAACTTTTTCTTAGTTAAAGAGAACCTAGCAAGGCATTCCTATGTTGCAAGTGAATGCATAACCAATAAGGTAGGAAAAGCATTTATTTTTTGTTACCTGGCAATTGGTCTTCTCGAATTATAGCTGAGTCCCTCTCATGTCCATAAATTCCTTGGCATGGAATTTGGCACCAATTTAGAGGATAGATGTCAACTTGAACCAACCATAAAATTTTATCAAGTATGAGTGACATGGAGCTTTTTGATCTACATACAACCCCATTTTGAACGGGAGAAGCCCTAAGACTATCTCCAACAGGAGATATTTGGGGGGGTTTTTTGCTCCAACAGGTGGCTTTTAATGTGGTGAAATGGAAAACCGGAGCCCAAGGGGTGAATATTTCACCCCTGGTTTTTCTGAGCGCGTGGGTCCGGTGAATAGTGATCATCCCATGCAATGTGCCATGTGTCAAGGCTTGATTGGTTGGCGATTTTTGTTTTACTCCTAATTTTTAAATGATATTTTGGGAGATAAATACTAGGAATTAATTTATAATTTTTATAGCAATAATTTTTATTTTTTGAGCTCTATAAATAGAGATTAGTCTTGTGTAATTTGGACACAAAAAAAAATCTGAGTTTTCAACACCTTATTCTCCTTCTCTTTGCTTTTTTATTCAAAAATTAAATTAATAATATATATTATCAAAAATATTATCAAAAATTAAATTAATAATATATATTATTTATGTAAATATTAAAAATTTATAATTATAAATAAATGAGTTATATTAGTAATAATAATAGTAGTAGTAGTAATATATATGAAATAAGAAAAAGAAATGAATAAATAAGGTGGGGTATATATGTTGGAATGATGGGGTTATAGTGGGTCCCAAATAAAGTAAAAATCTTTTGAAAAAACTCCTGCTGTAGAGATGATAGAAAATGAAGATTGTTGAATTATGTGGAGGGGAATAAAGTGATGTGGCAGGAGAGAGAAGGTTAAAATTTCGACTCCTGCTGGAGATAGTCTAAAGGAGGAGGATGACGTGAAAGTACATTCTTTGAAAATAAAAAATTGTCTAATTGCAGTTCTCATGAAAATTGCATCTTTAACAGTAAAAATCAACATTCTGTCAGAAAGATTAAAAAAATTCAATAACATGAAAGTACATTCTTTGAAAATGCTATCTCCCAACAAATCGAAAAGTAATCCGTCAAAATCTAATTTTTCTGACAAATGAAAAGGAAAAAATTCTCAAGGCAAAAAGTTACCTCAGTGCCAACTTTAAAAAGAAACGAGGGATCCGCCAGCATTCGATCCCGCAGCATGGAACACGACCTCATCAACATCCCAAGAGGCCAAACCGACCCCTTCAAAACACAAACCAACAGTAAACTACAAAATCCCGTTCAAAAATCAAAACCTTTAACCTAAAAAACACAAAGTCACCTGCAAATCTAGATATCTAAGAAGAAGCAACCTCCGAATTCCCACGGATTTGGCTGCCTCCAACATATCATTAGGCAGCGTCGCCCCTCGAGCCTCCGCCTCTTTCATCACCTCCTCAAACTTCATTATCGGGCCGAACTCAGCTTCCTCATAATCGTCCTCGTCGTCGCCTCCGCCGCCGCCATTACCTCCGCCATCGTTAGGGGGAGGGAGGTTGTCATTTCCGCCTGCAGACAAAATTAGGGTTCCGGAGGTCCGATTAGGGTTTTGAGCCCTGATGGTGAGAGGAAAGAGGGACCGAGTGAGAGGGAGCCGGATGGAGGTATGGAGATTGGTTGGGAGCTTAGAATCGCTGACGGATGGAGGGGAACCGTTAGATTTGAAGCAGGAAGAAGAGAAATGGGAGCAGGAGAACGCCATTGATGGCTCCAATTGATCTCGACCAGCTTTTGTTTTTCTTTCTCGTCCCCCCTTTCTTTCGATGAATGAATATTCCCTTCGGAGTTTGAGAGAGGTGGCGGCGAAGAGAGAGAGATTAGTCGGGAACTAGGACTTAAGAGTGGGGTTTTAAGTTGTGGGGCGGGTTTGGTTTGTGTTGTGGTTAACCCGAACCCGAATTATTTATGGGATGTTAGTCAATTAGGACTTTTTCATAATAATAAGTTTTATATACATGCAATGCACGTGGTTACATACCATGGTTAAATATTTTTGGCTTTTTTTCTAACTAAAATTTATTCATTGGTTCCTCTTTAATAGTTTGTGTTCACTTTTGTCTCTAAACTTTAATATTGTAATTATTTATTTTCTTTGATGTTTGTATAAATAAGCTATAGCCAATTTAAATTTTGATGTTGATATTTGATTGACAGAAAATAAATATAATTTAAAACTAATTTGAATTTTCATATTATTTTGATTGATATGGAACCAATCTCTACTTGAGAAAGTATAGTGTTACAAAAGTAAAAAATATTGAAATAGTATTATACAAGGAAGGCAAATATTTAAAACCAATAAGTCAAAATGATTGATTGAATGTACGCTAAAACGATACAAAAGAGAATATAAAGTTTGTTCCTAATCATTGATAGACTTCATAAAAAATTATAAAATCAGTGTGATGATCAGGACATGACGGGTGTTGCTCCTTTTGCAGCGGTTGCGGGGTTCTCAGTCAGTCAGTGTCCCTGTTGTTCTGAAACTCTGTCGGCTCTCGTAGCTCGTCGATTCACTTTAGGCGCTCACCGACGTCAATTGGACTCTTGTGAACCGGGTAGTGACGTTCATCGTCATTTCCTAACACTGAGCTGTTCGTGGGGACCTATTGGCAATTTTTGATGCCTACAGATACCCCCTCCGAAGCGTTCCGGCCTCGTTTCTTTTATAGAAGAGACCGGAATGCTTTGGATATGATTGGTCCGGCCTTCAGATAAAGTTTGTTCCTAATCATTGATAGACTTCATAAAAAATTATAAATTAAAGATTAATGCTAACTCTAATATACTTTTATATGATAAAAGCATCCACATAAGCATATAAAAGTACTGGAAAAGGCTCATAAAACTCTCTTCTAAAGATTCCTAATTTCACTCAAAATAATTAAAATATTCTATAAAATATTGTCTTTTATTCCTTCTGTTTTATTTTTTTAGTGAGCTAAGATCAATCTTTTTTCACATTTATCTTTTTCCCGGGCAATTCTAGAGCAGTGTCTTCATCATCTATATCGATTGTGACATGAGGTTGGAGTTGTATTTTTTATAATGTTATCTTTCTTGGGCTCGTTAATCTTTTATCTTATCGTTTAACCTTACAAAGAAGTTAAATGTATTTCCGGTGTTTCACAAACATCTAAATTAAATACATATATTTTTTATTGCTAAATTGCCTTAGATTATAATATTAATATTTAATCTCTTTAGTATTTGAAGAACAAAATATGAAAATTTTTAATACTTACTATTTTCTTATATCTTCATGCAGAATTCTGTTGGATTTTTTGGTCAAAACTGCTTTTCAAAATGAGTTTTCAAACTATATATATATTAACTACAAGTACTTTTCATAAATACTTAGTAGCCTAGTGGAAAGTTTATGTTTTGGTGTTTCAAAAGGTTCCTTGTTCGAGGCTTGTCGTTGGCAAGCCGAGAAGTGTTTTATTTAAATTAATCCCTCATAAGTTCTAGTGGACCGTGAGTCGTGGGCCGTGGGCCGGTGATCGGGGCTAATCGGGCTGAGACGCTAAGTGGCGCTTTGTTAGGCGCACTTTGCACTTATATATTAACTACAAGTACTTTTCATAAATGCTTAGTAGCCTAGTGGAAAGTTTATGTTTTGGTGTTTCAAAATGTCCCTTATTTGAGGCTTGCCAACGACAAGCCAATAAGTGTTTTATTCGAATTAATCATTCATAAGTTCTAGTGGGTCGTGGGCCATGGGACAATGGGCCGGGGAACGGGACTAATCGGGCTGAGGTGCTAAGTGACGCTTTGTTTGGCGCCACGTTAGCTGCCACTATGGTCGCCACGAATGTTGCCTCGCAGGCTGCTTCACAGCATGCGGACGAGCTACGTATTCGCATGAGGGTGACCCTAGCGTTCTCGTAGTTTGACAAGGTTCGCTCGTTCGACGAGGTTCGTCTGTCATACGAGGTTCGCCTATTTGACGATGTTCGTTCATTCGTGGAGGTTCGTCTGTCATACGAGGTTCGCCTGTTTGACGAGGTTCACTCGATCGACGAGGTTCGTATGTCATACGACGTTCGCCTGTTTGACTATGTCCGCTCGTTCGATAAGGTTCGTCTATCATACGAGGTTCGCCTGTTTGACGATGTTCGTTTGTCAAACGAGGTTCGTCTGATTTGCTGAGACTTGACCCTCACGTTTCGTAGCAACGCGTCCATTGATTGCCTCGTATTCAGCAGTTACTGCATGCAGCAGTTACAACAGCATTAAGAGCAATTTAATGCATTGATGTTATAATCTTAATTATCATTAAGAATTGTAACGGTCACATTAATTGCTAGTGACTCTTGAGCTGGCCTTAGAGGCCTATAAATAGCGTCCTTGGGCAGCTCTTGGTTGCTGCTGGAAACTCTCTCGTGAGCGTGGAATACGAACGTCAGTATAGAATACGAACGTCGGTATACCCACGCGAGCTTGGAATACGAACGTCAGATTGACGTTGTTGTTGTGTTGTTGCTGCAGAAACTGTGCCCGCAGGAACCCTGAAACCGAAAGGTTTTGAACCGTAAGGTTCTGAGATCGAGAAGATATTTTGCCTTGACCGAAAGGTCTTATAGATCGAGGAGATCTTGACAGTACTGGGTTGGTGCACACCAGAGTATTGTACTGCTGTTCCTGGAAGCATTTTGGCCTTGGGATCCTTGCACTGGAGTAGGTCAAATATTGCTTTAAGCACAACGTTTCACAAACGCACAGCAGTTAATTAAAATTTTTAAAATAACAGCTCGTCATCCTTCACTGTTTAATTCCAGATTTAACCACAATTTCTAATAATCTTAAAGCAATATTTCAGATCTACTAATGGATCCTGTTAGGACTCTTGGAGTGGACTGTCTCAAGTTAGAAAACTTTGATGGATCTAATTTCAACGCATGGCGTCGAAAAGTGATTTTTGGGATGCAATTCCTAAAAATCTACTTTGTGGTTTCTGAGGAGAAACCTGATTTTGAAGAAGACTCAGAGTCTGAAGCCTCTTGGGATAAAGATGATCATTTCTGCAGGAGTTATCTCCTTAACTGTCTGGCTGATCATCTGGCAGATGCTTACACCAACAAGCCATCTGCAAAGGAAATCAACTGTCTGGCTGATCATCTGGCAGATGCTTACACCAACAAGCCATCTGCAAAGGAAATCTGGAATGCTGTGGAGGAGCAATACAATGATGAGGAGAAGCTTTCCATGTCTCACCTCATTGACAAAAATTTGGACTTCAAGTTTGAAGATGACACTGAGGTTTTGCCTCAAGTTAAAGAACTCGAAAAGCTTGTTATGAACTGAGGTTTTGCCTCAAGTTAAAGAACTCGAAAAGCTTGTTATGAAGCTGAAGGATGAAAAGATCAGTCTTTGTCAAACCTTTATTTCTGGTGCAATTGTCAACAAGCTTTCTCCATCTTGGATGTCGTTCTCCACGGACATCCGAAGAAGGAAAAGACAGGTGACTTTATCTGATTTGAAGAGGTTCATTCGGATCGAGGACGAGATTCGGACTCGCACAAAGAATGAGCTCCTAGCTAAGCAGAAGGCGTCTGCTAACATGGTGGCTACTAACTCTGAGAAGGGTACCAATTCTTCTAAGAAAAAGAAGTCTTTTAACAAAAAGAAGAATCATAATCCGAAGAACTTGAATGTTCAGAAGAAAGATTTCAAGAAGAGCGGCAAATGCTTCAATTGTGGGAAGCAATGACATTTTGCCAAAGACTGCAAAGCACCAAAGAAGGGAACAGTACACAATGTTAATCAACTTGACAATTATGTGGCTATGCTCTTTCAGGTGACAACTCCCAGCAAAGTCTCTGGTTGGTGGTTAGATACATGTGCTACCTGTCATGTCTGCTCCAACAGAGATTTGTTCTCTTCCTATGTTGCTGCCAAAGAGAACGTATCAATGGCTGATCGTTCTGTGGTTCCTGTTCTTGGAACTGGGACTGTGGTGCTGACTCTTTCTTCAGGGAAGACTCTCACATTGAAGGATGTGAAACATGTTCCCTCAATTGCCAAAAACTTAGTCTCTGGAAGCCTGTTGTGTGACGCTGGTATGAGGCTGGATTTCCAAGGAGGAAAGGCTGTGTTATCTTTTAAGAAAATATATTTTGGCAATGCATATTGTACTGATGACATGTATAAAATCAAAACTATTGTACCCAACTCAGTTGTAAATGAAGTATCCTCTTCTGCTTACTCCTCTGTATTATGGCACAATAGGCTAGGACATGTAAATTATAGAAAGCTGTCTAGCATGGAGAAGTTAGGATTACTTCCGAAATATGGGGGTAACAAACCTGATAAGTGTGAAGTATGTGCGCAAGCGAAGTTGACAAGAAAGCCATTTTCAAGTGTCACAAGGAGCACCAACCTATTGGATCTGATTCACTCAGATACTTGTGATTTCAAGAGCTTCGTCACTCGAGGCGGCATGAAGTACTTCATCACCTTCATTGATGACCACTCTCGCTTCTGCCACGTCTACCTGCTGAAATCTAAAGATGAAGCCTTCAGCAAGTTCGTCAATTTTCGGAATCGAGTGGAGAAGCAGCTTGGACTTCAGGTGAAAAGACTCAGGAGTGACAGAGGAGGAGAGTACCGATCCAAGGAGTCGGAGGCATATTTCAAGGAGCATGGAATCATTGCTGAAACCACTGCTCCGTATTTTCCGCAATCTAATGGAATTGCAGAAAGGAAGAATCGCACATTGACCGAGATGGTGAATTCGATGCTAATTACATCCGGACTACCTATATGCTATTGGGGAGAGGCTTTTCTGATGGCAAATTGGATTATGAACAGAGTACCCTA